CGTTACGTAGTTAGTAGTATATATATATATATATATATATATATATATATATATATATATATATATATATATATATATATATATATATATATATATATATGTATATATATGTATACATATACATATACATATATATATACATCTACATCTACATATTTATACATCTATATATTTATATATGTACAATGTTTGTGTGCGTGTGTGCGTGTTTGAGCTCTCAATATATATATATACGTATGTATATATATATCTATACATATATACATGTATATATACACATAAATGCATATATTTATATCTGTCCATACATTGCTATGGTTCGCACATTCGCATGTCGCAGTCGCCAAGGGTTCGCAAGACATGGCGTCGTTCCCGTTTTAGTGTGCAGTGTTCATAAATTGGTGGTTTTCTTCTTCACGTTTATGGATATAAATCATATTTCAATTTACTGTTTGCTGTGGGGGTAGGTGACAACCACTGTGATGGGCAGTATCTTAGTTTTTCATTTCTGTTTGCACCCGTCGTATCAGTGATGGAATTGATGGAGCTAGAAGAAGAGTTCGATTGGAATTATGTCGAGCCAAAACGGCGTACGAGTTTTGATATACTGCTGGAAAGGCCGAGCTATGCACATGAGTGGATTGATCTTGACGCAGACCAGGATATAGTGGTTGCGGAAACGTATGTATCATGTTGGTATATCTTTTTATTTCGGGCATGAACATAGTTTTTAGTGCCGCGATGAAACAGCTTAAATCGGTGTTTTTGGATTGATTGTTGTGTGGTGTAGACTGTTTCCCTTCTGTTACCAAGGCATCGTTTTGTACTGTTTACTGTTGGATTTTTCCATACCGCCACGAATCAGACTCTCTGGAAAGTATTTAAGTGTGCCAAATGAAGCAGATTCTTGTTTTTGATTAGATCCAGGCTCAGACTCACAGATATAATTGCTTTGTATATTGTATTCACGCATGTGTGTATAGCTATTCCCGGCCATCCTTCGGTGATGTCAAGGATCGCTCCCGCGGTGCACTGAGTGCGACCCCTCAAGATTGTTTTAATCGAATGGACAGACATATCAGGAAGGCTTACAACAAGACAAACATACCCCTGGTATGACATAGAATCCGTTCACTTTTCAATTCATTTGTAGAGCGTCTCACCGTTTAGTCTCCTTAGACTGACTCATGATGGACGTTCACTCGCCTTTGAATTGCCTACTTGGATTTTTGAAATAAAAGATTGACTCCTTGAACGAGAAAGTGTTCTAATATCACAGGTTCGACTCGTATCTTTCTCACCTGCGTGAGATCTATGTTGGAATAGTTTTATTTGAATTGCATATAATACTGATGTTCTGCCCAATTTACAACTTGACAGGAAATGGTGAACTCGTTAGAGAAGGAACTGGTTTGCAACTTCACGGACGACCCAGATATGGTGGTTGTCTGGAAGATGAATAATAGCTTCCTTCGAATGCTCGTGCATGGTCTGTGCCAGTATCACAACCTGGCATCAGAGACAGGTGGGTACTTATTTACATTTTCTCATGTGCGCTAAGCAGGATCAGGTGACTAATTCCAAGTTTCGACAGCTGATAAATTGATTCTGTTCGAAGGATGGTCTAACCGTTTACTTTCCCTGTCTCACTCTTTGTTTTCCTCACTACAGACGAGACATCAGATGGGAACTGTCATATTGTAATTGAGAACACCCGCGGATATTTCGGCTCCACTCATCTGCTTTCGGAGTATCTACAGTAGAGCGAATTCGAACGCCTGCGGATTTTCGTGGTATAATCTGCAAGCGAGATTATTCTATTGAGCTCTGCTTGTGGGTTATACGGCAATGGGTGGTCTATCACTTCGAAAGTAGCGCGATCTACGATGGTTTGCGCGGATTAGATCTGAATTGTAGGTTTCAGCGTGTGCACTGACTGGTGTGAACGTGCAGCAACGGATGCTTCGTGACTGTAAACAGTTGAGTCACACAGGGTTCAGTGGTCAATGTGTTCAGAGCAACAAGTGGTTGCAGATGCTCTCGTCAGCTATTTATGATAGATTGTGATGTAGTCTATGACATATACCGCTTTGTCTGCCATTTCGCGAAAACTGGTTCCGGTTATAGCTCATACATCCCGTTTCTGAGTCCGCCATATTTTCTCGAGATTGAAATTTGGTCGAGGTCAATTCGTTATCGTTTTTCCAGTCTCGATATATGGGTGTTGAATCGCTTCAAAGTTTGGTTGCGGCCACTGCATCTGGTATCGACGCTGTCACTGTCATCATATTGGGTCCTACGTGCAATCATGGGGTAGTGTGAATGCTCTGGCATTGATCCTGGTGTGGAGATTCCTGATTGGTGTCTGCATCAGGAGTTTGTGACTAGGCCCAAGTCAATGTGAAATGCATACGTATACATTTCTCGTATTGATTAATAGTTGACAGTTCGCATATCGAGTTTAAATTTGTGGACGCATAGGCAGGCTATGTACACCTGCTCGCTAAAATAAAGCCTGATTGGTAAACCTACTTCCTACTCGTGATACTGGTCGATGTATTAGTTGAATATTTGACTATACTATTTGCGCGTGGATATCTGACTTTTGCACTTATAAAAGCAATCAAGCATACACGACGCCTAAAATATCTCAACATCAAATCTAATGTTGGAAAGTGATTCAGGCTAATGCAGACGCCAAGGAGAAATCTCTATTTCGAAGTACCCAGCATTAACCGTGCCTTATCGGCGGAGCCATAAACGAGCCAACATCAGTGATTACAACACTGGTAGCTTTACACGTATTGATAAGGAGTACTTCAATGGACTCGATTTGTCTACTGTTGTATTGGAACAAGAAGCGATTATTTGTCTAACATTTACTTTTGTATTCAAAACGAACGAAAACTCGAACCAGACTTCGGGTCATTATTTGTATGTGTTTATATATGTAATAAGTTCGCACTAACATAGTATGCTGCTTGTTTCCAACTCATAAATATGGTCGGATAATTTACTCGTCGTCATCGTCGTCGTCGTCGTCGTCGTCACCATCATCATCATCATCGTCATCGTCATCGTCATCGTCACCAGTCTTTTTCTTGCACAGGAGCTCGACCGAGGAATCTTGGCCTAAAATTTTGAATCCGTCCACACAATCTGCTATCTGGATATCTTTCTGTGTGGTGATCTCTGATTCCTCTTTACAGTTCTTTCCGAGGAAAATTGTCGAAGTGAGAGGGTCGAATTCGGCGTCCTCGTCACCATCTTCATCAATATCTACAATCACTGATCCGTCAACCTTCAAACTACCAACGGCTATCTTAACATTATTACATTTTTTCGAGAGCTTGATAGGGTTCGTAATAATGATTGGGTCTTTTTTGTCGCCATCACACTCGTCATTGCCCAGGTAGATTGACGCAGTGAAATCCTCGCACTCGGCCTTGGCGCTGACACTAGCGGCAAGCATCAACGTGGCAGTGGCAGCTACAATTGAAAATCTCATATTGAATGGTTATACTTAAATGTGCTGGATAGAATAACTTCAGAGAATGCAAATAATATACTTAATGACATTATATTTATACTAAATTTCTGAATAACAGTAGACGAAACTTCAAGCAGGACTGGCTCGTGTGAAAGGCTGACTCGCGTGAGCAGTCTGTTGTCTGTGGACCATTTACTACACATCTACTTCTTGGTGGAATGCTCAGTATTTCTTATTGTGCATGCTTTTCATGAATATCATGAATATATTTTTGAGGCAGAGGTATTTTCTAGCCGAAAAGAATGACTACAGAAGTACAGAACATATTATTTAAAAAAAACTAGAGGAATTTTTATAATTATGCAATACACTTGCACATCATGAAGTAAAATAAAGGCAAAACAGCTAAGATGTGTCCTATTTTGGTATGTCAGTGTCAAGGAAGGAGCGAATACAATATACACAACCACGGCTTTAAAAAGAAGGCACATGTTGTAGCCATAAAATCGCTCGTAGAGACCTGGTGTTTTAAACTGTACCAATGGCAAGGATTCATTCAAAGTGTGCGTAAGTGTTAGTACGCCTAACTCGGAAACGCTCCTTGCTTTTAGCGATGGGTTAGCCTCATTGGGCCGTGCGTAAAGTCAAGTGCAACATTGTACTGGATTGGATAAGGAACTTTTTTTTCAGCACTGGTTGTCTGAGCCTGTCTGATCCAACAGTGACAAGTGACAACACTGCAACTCTGCAAGTCTGCAACACACTCACAGGCTCACAGCCCCGAACAACTTACTTGTGTGTTGGTCACAGCCTTTTTAGAAGGCAATTTATAATGTAGTATTTTTGTTTTGTAAAAAACATGCGACCCACAATGAAATCACAGAACAGGATAAAATCGGAAATCCCTTGGACCTGAAATTTACAACAGAACGGGACAAAAAAAACAACAACATTGTTGAACACAGAGCAATTGTGCAAACCAAACGATCATTCATGGCCTTCTCTCTTGTACAATTAGAAGGCTATGAAACGAAATTTTTGTTATAATGTTCAGAAGTATGGATCCACGAACTCACGCTCACAAGTTTAACAGAACATTGACTCTCTAGAGAGGTGAGGCGTTGTAATGAATATTGATATTCTATTTCAGGTGATACTTTTTGGTTTTCGTAAAGTATACAAGCTTAATAGTTCGGTACTTGGGGTCAAGGTCGCCTTACGTGGGCCCATAAATATCGACCCTGTCGGTGATGTACCCTGGTCCATTTTCTGGACCGAGGTTTATTTGGGGCGGTCCCATAAATATGGACCCTACCTTTGCGAACGGACCCGGATGCGGTTTTGGACACGGCTCGGGCGTTAATAATTATATTGTTACCAGTGCCGTATAAAGAAATTCTTTGCAAGATTAAGAACTTCAGAAGGCTATGTTTTTGCTATAAAAAAGTAGTTTGCATAGCAAACCGTGTTGATTTTTTGTACACAGTAATGTTTTTAATAATCGGACCCATTGGACTGGTTACGGTTATATATTACTCTTTACTGCCTTGTGGTATTTGTGTATTGTAAACAAAATTTTGTCATGTTATTGCTCGAGAGTAGCATCGGAATGTTAATGATTTGGTAGAAAAGTAAAATTAAATACTATGCAGACGACCAACTTTTTTAATTTAAAAGTTTTATATTGGGAAGACAAACAGAATTTATACATTTTTTACAAAGAGATACTATTTATTCTTGATTTTACGAGTAGTATCAGAATGTATTTTTTTTACAATTGTGTGAAGGGTGATGAGTGCCGACTTGAGGCCTTGAGCTCACTCACCAGTCTCACCACTGCAGTCAGCACCCGACCGAGGAACACATACAAATAAACGTACAAGTGCATATTATTATTTTCAACGTTTTATACACTTCTTTATTATTTTAGGAAATACAAATGTATGTACATATTTAGGAATACTACTATTTTATAAAATATGCCATATTTATGAAAAATATAAGGCATACTTATTTCATATTTATTACTTTCCTAAAAATTTATTTCGTTCATTTTTCATATTTTGCTATTTAGTATGAGTGACGATAGTTAATACTAAAACTTACAAACACATTGATAAACAGTCCTTGTGTATGCACAACACATATGCACAACGTAGCATAGTAATCTACTAAGTGTGAACATAGAAGCTTACACTTGGTTTATGTACACTAAAAAAGTAAAAGGTCTATAGTACACATAATAAATAAATCATGAGTTATACGACATCTAAACACGCATTTTTATAATATTATTATTCTGAGTCATAGAACTCGACAGAGATCATTTAACAGTGAAGCAGGAAGATGTACATATTAAGCGGCAATTGAATACTGTGCACTGGAGTGGCATATTTCGGCATGTGAGCTTATATTGTCACTGTATTTAAGTCAAATAAACTAACGATCAATGTGTTTGACTTGTGTATATAATATATGTGATTGCTTGTCAGTATTTCAACACCACAAGTATAAAACCGGATTGAATTTTTTTTGCCACCCTTTTTTGTTCCAGAAATCAATCAATTCTCAAATTGGTAACAATTTGCCACCTTAATTATAAAAGGTGGTCAACATGCATCGAGCGGAAACAGGTTAAATTGTAACTGACGCTACACTACTGGTACGATAGCTCTGAAATTGGTAACAGAGCTCAAGGACAATACTATTGATAGGTGTGAACAATTGTTTGTATGCCTGTGAATTATGAAGTTCACAATGTCCCTTCTGGCAGGATATGTGACAAGTGTGGATTATGTCTCCTGTGACCAGGATGCGCTCAGGAGACAAAATATCGAACTGGCATGAAAATCGGGTTTCGGGTATCACCCGATTACAATAGTGTCAATAAGAGTGTCCAACGTGTGCGTTTGTAATTTTTGATGTTATTTCGTCTTATTTGGTATAGTTTAAATTACAGGGTCTTTCACGCATACTTGCGAAGTTACACAACTATATATGTGGAAATAAACGTCCATGAAAACACAAATATATATACACAGACAATAATATATATATACACACACACACATATATATATATATATATATATATATA